CGAGTTCGATCCCCGGTACCAAAAAAAAAAAGAAAAAGAGTGATAAGGTAAAAAGACTTCCTTTATCCATTTACCCTCTTATGGAAGGAAGGGAAACAGAGTGGGATTTGGGAGCTGAAGTAGTAATGAACTAGATGACCCTAAATTCCAGGTCTACTCCATTATCTACCATGAGGGGGTGAGAGAGGATGGGTCACCCCAGGTCATTTTCAGTTCCACCGTTTTAAAATGTCCCAGGCCAAGGACTAAGTCTTTTTATTTTATTTTTAATTCACAAATAATGATTGAATGTATTTATGGGGTATAATAGGATGTACATGTATATATTGTAGAATGAGCAAATCAGGTTAATTAACATATCTATTACTTTGGGGGCAAAGTGTGACTATGGCTCTGTAACTCTCTTCTCCCACCTGGGCCTAGTAAGGTGAGCTACCCAGTTGTCATAGTGATTGTAGAATTATAGATTTGCAAATTAAATACAATTGAGGATCATTACCTCCAAACTGCCATTACCCCAACACGGAGGCCCAGAGAGGATTCCAGAAAGTTAGCATCAGGAGCTCTTCAAACCCTGTGAGGCCAATGGCTGCCTCCCTACCACAAAGGTCAGATATTCTAGAGTCCCTCTTAGTCTTTACACCCAGCTCTCCTTGCAGGCACATCTTGGCTCACTGGTTTGGGAATTAGGAGTGAAATCTGTATTCCAAAGGTTATTATTATTATTATTTTTTTGGTACCAGGATCGAACTCGGGTCCTTGCGCTTACGCAGCAGGTGGCAAAACCACTGAGCTAAATCCCCGGCCCCCAAAGGTTATTTTTAAAAGTGAAGTTTGAATTAGAATTGGATTTTATTCACAGAAACTTTCTTAGAAACTCATTTCTTGTTCAATTACAGTAGCCCTTCCACATGGGTAATGCTCACCATTTTAAAAAAAAGAACAATTTAGTACTTTAGCTTTCCATTTTTTTCTGACTCTGTTATTAGGTGTTTTTTTTACATCCTGAGTACCTTCACTAATGAGTGAGATGGACCCGAAAGCCACTGAAGTAATAGCCTTCCAGTGACATTTTGGTGGTAGTCTGGTCCATGACTTTAGCAGCAAGGTCACTCGTGTGACTGTCCACAAGAAGGGCTGGAATTGTAAGATCAGGCTTTTGACATTACCAATTAGCAGGACCTAGGCATATTTTCTTACTTTTGCCTTTTGATTTTTCACCTTTTCAGAAAAGTACAAATTTGGGCAGGGATGGGGCATATACAGATAAAATACAAATATTATAATCATAATCCAATGACATAATGTTAAGAGATCCCACCATTTAAAAATATCTCCTCAAAAACAATTCGATTAGAAATCAGTGAAGGACTTGAATAGACATTTCTCCAAGAGGGGATATCAAGGACCAATAAGCACATGGAAATTCACTCAACATCACTAATCACTAAGAAAATGGAAGTCAGAGCACAATGAAAGACCACTTCCTATCCACGGGGATGGGTATTGTCCAAAACAAACAGAAAATAACAAATGCTGGTGAGATGTGGGAAAACTGCAACCCTTGCACACTGGTGGTAGAGATGTAAAATTGTGCCAACTGCTGTGCAGAATAGGATGGGAACCCCTCAGAAAGCAAACATAGAATTACCATATTCCAGAACTTTGGGATATCCAAAGAAGTTAAAAACAGGAACTCTAGCAGATATGTGTATATCTGTACTCACTGCAGCATTATTTATAATAACCAAAAAGTGGTCCAACTGCCTATCAAAGGATAAATGCATAAATAATGTGTGATACATGCAGACAATGGAATATTGTTCAGCCTTAGAAAAAAAAAAGAAGGAAAATCTGACACGTGCTACAACATGGACAAACTTTGAAAACAATCCCTGAAGTGAATTAAACCAGTCACAAAAGAATAACTACCGTATGATTCCACTTAGACAAGGTACTTGGTCAAATTCATAGAGACAAAGTGGAATGGTGTTTATCAGGGCCTTGGAGGTGAGAAGATGAAGGAGTTCCTGTTTCATAGGTACAGAGTTTCCATTTTGAAAGATTAAAAGAGTTCTTTGGTTGGATGGGGTGACTAACACAACAATGTGATTGTAATTAATACTATCAAACTGTCCACTTAATAATGATCAAAATGGGAAATTTTATGTTATGCATATTTTTTCACAATTGGCTGGGCATTTAGCTCAGTGGTTCCACCTCCTGCCTTGCAAGCGCCAGGTCCTGAGTTCGATCCCCAGTACCAAAAAAAAAAAAAGAAAGAAAAGAAAAAAAGAGTTAACCTCACAATAAAGTCTCCTCTACCCTTAGAGGCAAAGATCAAGAATATGCTAACTTTTCTTTAGGCCACCAAGGAAAGGGGAAAAGAAATGGCCCTTGAGTCTCTTTTATGTAGCAGGCAACTGCTTATCTATACACAAAAGCAAAAACCAAGCCAAAAAAAATGATGTACTACTGATCCTTCTTTACAATGAGCCAACTAAGGTTCATAAATTAATTAATGCACCGGGTCAAGTAGTAAGAAGCAGAGGTAGCAGTCAAAGCTGGATATGCCTGACTTGGAAGTCTGTGTTCTTTTAACTCCCTGGTGTTCTTTTCTTCTACCCACAGTAGTCTTTTGTGAGCAGGCTTTCTGCTTTGACTACAGAGCTTTTAGACTTAAAAGTTGGGCCTGCCTTCTGAAGTCTCCTAAAAAAGTCAGCCAAACAAGCACACCCGCTGCATGCCCACCATATGAGGGCCAGGGCTGGCCGCGAAATGATGGAATCACGTTCCCATTCAGCCACTGGCCATATGGTAGGGAGAAAGACACAATTAAAATTGCAGTTGACTCCCTCAAAAGCCACTGAATACTCTGAGCAATAGCATTATGTCTTTCAATATTCCATATGGTCAGAATAAGTGAAAATCGTCTCATTTTGTAACGTAGGAGCATATTCATCTTTCCTCTAAACATTCTACCATCACAGTTACTGATGTGCTATTACTATCTGCTTCAAGCTAGAATTTAACAATTAAGGAAATGTTTTGTGCTGTACAGAAAATAGGCACCTCTTAGTTGTTTTCAGAAAGATAGCAGGGGGCCCTCTTGACTCTACTGCACCTATTGGCCAAGGTTTTATTTTCTTACTCTTGTGTGAAACACACACAGAGGAGTAACGCACATTTTTTATACCTCCCCAAACAAAGCAGGGTGTTGGCACTGTCTAGTGACTACAGCCTGTACACGGATCAGTACCAAAGTCCAGCCCAGATTCCCAACGATCTACCTCATTCAATGCCATGCAGTTTGGTTATGGGCCTCTGTGACCCAGCCCAAGTCTCCTATCTGGGACGATTATCTTTACATATTTCACTGGAGGATGCAGAAGGAAATGAAACTGTGGAATCTGAGACATGCCTTGTTTTGCCCATAGCTTTGAATAAATTCAGTGAATCCTTCAGCTGGGCTCCATGGTTTCAGTACCAGTAGTACTTTTTCTCTTAGGGATGGTGCAGGTTTACTTTAATGAAAAGCCTCGTAAAAAATATAGACATTTTTCTTTAGTATCGATACAAGCTTCCTGTCTCTGAGAATGCTACTCGACAAATTTTAGCCAGCCAGATCAATATCATAAAGATGGTACAAAACAAAATAAAATGAAAACAACAACAACAACCAAAATCCCCCAACCCTATGCCCTTAATAACTGACAATGGGGACCATCCTGAAGGTATATGCCTTCTTAATTGGTATATTTGCTCTTTTAAAACTTGTATTTTAAGAATTTATGAGCAATCAACATAATGGCATTTTATTGCTTTTACTGCACTATAAGCAGTTTTCTTTCTTTCCTTTCTAAAATTATCTTCTTTCATTATTAAAACCCAAGAAAAATCCTTTTATCAATAACCATTATTTCTTAACCGCACTTTTTGTTGAAGATACAAAGCTTAATTTTTTAAAAATCATGCTGCGGGAGGCTATTAAACAATTACTTCTTCATATCCTGCCAAAGGAAACCTCACAATCTCAGCTCTAATCCGTTAGACCTATTTATTGATCATTCATAAATATGAACAAGTCAGACTCTCATTAAGAGCACCCATTGCTCTGGAAATTAAACAATAATAATTCTGCCTGGATTGTACTACTCCGGTCTTTCTACAGCATATACAGGTAAGGAAACAGCCCAGTTCACTTTTCCATTTTGTCCCTAATGAAGTTAACATACACCTTGACTGAGGGATGAAATAAATCCACAACAACAGCCTATCCACGCAGACATCAGTTACCCTCCCTAGACTGCCACGCTCCTTGGAACAAGGATGCAACTTTAGGCTAAGACCTACTGGCAAATGGTAGCTGTTTCTGAGGTTTCCCTGAAGACAGCCACACTGAGCTGAGGGAGGAAGACACCGTTTTTCAAAGGTAAATACTGTCCCTCATGTATGCAATTCCAGTCTTTGTTTAAAAAAAGAAAAAAATCTCAGGACAAAAGGATTTAACCCCCCACCCCAAAAAAGCCAAATCACAGCCATTATGTTGCAAAGCAGAAGGCAGCAGCGTGGTAGGAAAGAAAGAGGGAATGCGCTTAACATTTTCCACCACTTACAACCCTCAGCAAGAGGACTGCGACGCTTGGGTGACCGGACCCCAGCTTCTCAGCTGCAGCTGATCTCAATTGAGCCCTGTTTTCCTCTTCCAGCAGAGCTAGGCAAACCGCTTCTCACATTCAGCCTGCTTTCCTGGTAAGTCACCAAAGCTAGGCACAGAGGAGGATTTTTGTTTTAAGAAAACGTGTCACAGATGTAACCAGCATTCTCCAAAGCTCTTCTAAAAGAGCCTATCCTAATTACCCCCCCCCCCCCATCCTGAAGCAATGCACCCAGCTTTCGGTACAAATCTGCCCTAAAATAAAAAGAACCCACAGGCACTGGTCAACTTTTTCTCTCTCTCCCTCAATGAGAAAGGAGCAGCATGAAAACGTGTCCTTTACCTCGGCTCCCCGGCTTGGTCAGAAGAGAGCGGCTTCCCCTGGCAGAGCTGCTCTGGCTTGCAGCGAGCTCCAGCCCAGCAGTAGTAGGAGTCGCCCACAGAGCCGGCGGGCGGCGGCAGCGCTGTGTGTATGTGTAGCGGGCGGCTGCAGCCCAGGGACTAGTCCCCACCCAGCTTTGTCTTTAATCATAGTTCTTGGTACAGGAAGCAGCGCATCTCCCACTTCCTCCTCTTCTCGGTAGCTGCTAGCAGCATTCTTCGTTTTCCTCTCATTCCATGTCAGGGTTTACTCGTGTGCTTTTGCCTGCTCGGGGGTACTGAGGGTCATTTGACTGTCATCCTCTTGACCCCTTTGTTCCAGGTCCTTCTGATGCTGCCTGCCTGTGCCTTCCTTCCTCTTCTCATTCCTGCACCCTCCTTGACACCCAAGCTACCTTCTGAGCCTGAACTTGGTTTCTTGCTGCTCTTGTTACTGGTTCTACTATTATTTGTATTGGGTCTCTGGCCAGGCTCTGGCCCTGAGAGCCAACACCAGCCTCAACTGCACCCTCCGATTTACAAAGGTTCCTGCCTCCCTAGCTAGGAGCTTGCTGTTGGCAGCTTCTTGCTGCAGAGTTTTCCTCTGTGGCTGACAATCCAGTAGCTTCATTTCTCCAAGGTCCTGCTATCGCTCAGCTTTTACTTAATCCACATGCTCAGAAAAAGGCAGCTCTGGCAAGCATTTTTGTGGGTCATAGGAACCAAACCAAGTCCTGCAATCCAGAACATAATGCCAGCAGATTTGCTTAGATGGAAGGAAAGAGGTGATGGCGAAGGCTGTGGTTTCCCAGCCCAGAAATAGGACCCCCTCCCACATCCAGGTAGGACCCAGAGGACCCTGATGGCCCTCCAGTCCCTTCCTTCATTCTAGAAGGTAGCATCGACATGGAGAAGGGCAGAGCTAGCAGGCAGTCTGTCTGCTAGAGTGGGAGTCCAAGCTGTCATTCCTGACTTTATCAACCTGGGCAAATTATTGAACTTCCACATGCCTCAGTTTCTTCATCAGCGAAATGGAGATGACGAGGGTCATAGCCCACAGCAGAAATCTGAGGATTAAGACCGGACAGAGATGCTGAGAATAGTTCTGGGAACATAGGAAGTATTCAACACATTCTAGCTCTTATTATTTTTAGAGGAGGTTGAAACTCAGAGGTGGCAAGTGACTCGTGCAGTCAGTGGTCAAACCAGGATAAGTGTTTGGTTTTGCAATTCCCCATGGTTAGTATATCCACGATTTAGCCCTGAGCCTCTGGTCCATTATTCAACTTGTGAGTCATTTCCTCTAATACTAACAAGGTACTTTGGGGAAGCTAAGATTTTTAAAAAGGAATGGGAGCAAGGGGATCCTTGTTCTACAGATCAGGCAATGCTGTGGAGTTAAGAAACTCCTTTGGAATCAGAAGCTGACCTTCCCTGGCAGTAGAGCCCATTCCCAGGTCAACTTCCTGTGTCTAGTCCTTCCTTGACCCTCCAGGAAGTACACTGATAGGAAATGTGAGAAATCTAGGGCTGATGCAGGATAACTCACCCAGTGAGCCTTCCTAACACACCTTAGGGACCACAACACATTCTCTGGCAGGTACAGAATTTAATTTCAACAAAATGTTCTGAGACAGTCCCGGGATGAGCTTTGTTTTGATGTAATGTTCCATGAACAGAATTGGCTTATTTTTTTCCTAGAAATCGTTCATCAGTTAGGACCTGATGTCGTTTCACTAATATCTGAAAATTGCAAAATGGATTGTTTTAAGATGAAAACCAAGGAGCTACTTTTGAACCACCAGCAAATAGAATTATAGTATTGGAGGAAGATTTGGTAGAAATCCAACATAATGTGAGTTACCTCCCAATTACAAATCCTGGTGCCAAAGGTTACATGTAAATTTAAATATACATGATGCCAAATGTAAGAAAAAGGAGAAGCATGTTATTCATGGTTGGAAAGATTATGGAAACTGGAAACAAGTTTTGGTTAATTTTAGACCAATGGATTCTGGCAATAACTCTGGATTCGAATAGATTTTTTTAAAATAGCTCTCACACTTTCTCTCACTCATCAGAAAGTGGTTGGTACTTATCTTTAAACCTACACAGGAAAACCTCTTTCAAACCATAAAATCACCAGGAATTTGGCCTGCTGTCTTCTAATCTGTTCTTCCATCTCTGGTCATAAAACCCACACTAGGTTAATCTGGCCTTTCCTGGGAGGTGCCAACCAAACTCTCTTCTAAGCTAAAAACTAGGTTTTAAGTTTTTTCTCTTCCTGTCATTAACCTCTGCTTTCAATTCATCCTAATAACCTCTTTTTCAGGAGAGAAAAGTAAAGAGTAGAGGTGTAGATTGGCCAAGAGAGAAGATTAATCCAGTTTATAGCTCTTAATACACACATGGTAAGTACTAAGGCTGCAAAATGTTCATATTTTAGAAAAATGATAGACTTTCATCTCACCATTATAAGTTCACACCATCAGTTATTAGACATGGCCCTTTCCTACGTGCATTAGATCAGTGTCAAGACAAAAGCCTGTAAAATAGTTTAACATTCTTCAAGGGCCCTGTTTGCAAGCTTTAACACCTTGTATTTCTTACATCTACTTGGTAGAAGGTTGATAATAATAAAGAAGACATAATTTTGACCTGGTGTCTGACCTGTGTTATCAGGTGTTCTAGCTGGATGTTCCTTGGAGTTCTCATGTTTCCTAGTCCCCAAATTATATACATTTACTTTTATCCAAAGCCTAGTCCTCTTTCTATATTCTCCATTTTAAATAAAATTAAATAACGAAACACATAAATTAGTTGCCCACAGCAGTAATAAAGTAATTTCAGACCGTGTTCTGAATCAGGAAGCCTCTGTTCCCAATCTGATTTGTAAAGTTCTTCATCTTTTCATTGCCCCCTTCCAAATCATTTCTTTGCCTGAACACATCCTTGCTCTTTCCCTTGCCACTGTCTTATTTCCTCAGTGATTTGGATTTTCTTGTAACAATGCAAGCTTCCCCATTTTGCCCTCCTCCCTCTGGTCTCTCTCTAAGCCATTCCCGCCAGAAGTAGATTTTTTAAAAGAAGATTTGATCCCAGCACTGCTCGGCTGGAATCCTCCACTTTCTCCTCACCCCATGGCTTATGGCATACAAAGCTTTCTGTGTCTGCACTCCAGCCCTCATGCCTGTTGTCACCCGACCCCAGCGTCACAGAAGCTTTCTCATGAAGCTCTGTTCTTTTCTCCTCTGCCAGTTGACATGTGCTACTGCCACTGGGAAGCATGCCCTTGTTCCCTCCTCCATTGTGTCTGCTGGTAAATCCCACTTATTCTTCAAGACTCAGCTTTTCTCTCATTTCTCCCTTTGGAGCACGTGGTAACTTGCCTCTATCTCCACCCTACACCAGCTGTTCTAATGATTTGCTCTGTGTCCATCTTAGCCATTAGTAATTGGGCTTCCAAGGCTAAGGTCATGTTCCATTCATCTTTGCTTGTGTTTGCTTAACTAATGTAGTGGGTAGATCACAAATGTTTGAAAACAATTGAAAGAAATTTCAAAACTGCTTTTGTATTCCTTCGGGGGCCCAGAAAGGGGGGAAAAGGAAGTCTAAAATGAGAAGTTGGTCGTGAGGTAAGAAACAATAGTCTTGGGCCGGGGATTTAGCTCAGTGGTTCCACCGCCTGCCTCACAAGCGCGAGGTCCCGAGTTCGATCTCTGGTACCAAAAAAAAAAAAAGAAACAATAGTAACAACAGTGTGGATGCTGACACAATAATTACAATACAATAGTATCAATCATAATAATTAAAATTTATTTTGTGCCATCCTCATGCCAGGTTTTATACTGAACCTTTAA